TCACAAGATTTTGAATATACATCACAAGATTTTGAATATACATCACAAGATTTTGAATATACATCACAAGATTTCGAACATACATCACAAGATTTTGAATATACATCACAAGATTTTGAATATACATCACAAGATTTCGAACATACATCACAAGATTTTGAATATACATCACAAGATTTTGAATATACATCACAAGATTTCGAACATACATCACAAGATTTTGAATATACATCACAAGATTATCAAATATTGCAACGTTTGACATGCCATATAATATACCGTTATCATTCACGTACATGTATATGGATATGTTTTCCAGTTGAGTGGATACGAAGTTCCTCATAAAACAATTCCCAAGGCAAGCTACCGACAAATAAGTTGATAAATCAAGGACATCAACAGTCTCATTTAAATGCAACATTTGGCAAGTCTATGTATGACTAGTACTGTGTCTTGTTAGCAAGTAAAATCTACCATCAAGGTAAATATTGACTTATATTAATTTTTCAAATATATTATTAGGTCATAATTTTCATGCTGAATTGTCTACGGATTTCTTTCCGTTTGTTTGACTATGACACGGAGCGCACGGCGGGTGGGACCCGTCGACAGGGGATTCTTAATCCTTCATGGCAACTGATGAAAAGGAAGCAAAATAGGTCAGTCTTCCTTACAGCCTCTCCACAGTTAGACCTGTGTGGACTAGAAGTGGGATCCTCCTCGAGATGGCAGATAGAAACTTATACCTTGCCACCCTAGCAAAATCACTTGGTTTTAGAGGAGACTAGGCCCCTTAAGTGCACTGCGTGCATGGCCCACTGGTGTGTGGATATGCTCTGATGCCTGCAATCCTAGACCCCAGCTATGGGTAAGTAGCAACAAACAGCTGATTTGTGGTTACCTTTGGGATCCATAGCAATTACGGAAACAAGGATTAGAAATATTTCTACTGACGTCGAGTCTTCAGAATGCCAGCAGAATACTACATGTTTGACTGTGAACAGTGAAACCCGACAGGAATTGTCCACACGAGATGTATACTGCATGAACACACGAACTAAAACGAGAGGTAGTCTGTTTCTGGAACGGACATACCGTGTATGAAACAGGTAAACAGACTCAAGTTCTGAGAGAGATGAAGGAAAACAGGTTAAATGTACTAGGCATAATTGAATGTAGATGAACGGACTGGGAAGAATATTGCCAATATACAGGTGAAGTGTACCCTGGAAGATGGGACAATCAACATCACGAGGGAGAAGCAATCATCTGAATTAAAAGAGCAGCAAAAGCCAGTCTGATTAAAATCAAACCTTCACTAGCTCCTTTTTATTGTTCACGCGACAAAACAATAAAAAGGAGCTAGTGAAGGTTTGATTTTAATCAGACTGAGCAAAAGCACTAGTGGAATACCATCATGTAAATGAAAGAATCATCAGAGTAAGACTGAAACAAAAACTGTACTGACATCTGTGATACAGGTTTACGCCCCTTAAAATGAAGCAAAAGATGAGATTAGAGAGGAATTCTATAGGGCTCTACAGGCCGAATGTCTAAAATATCCAAAACAAGATCTGATGATCATCATGGGAAATCTCAATACAAATGTTGGAAGCAATAATGTCGGTTATGAAAGAGTTATGGGGAGGCATGACTGTAGAAGTATGAATGAGAATGGCGAATGCTTCAAGGAATTATGTGGAAACAACAACATGGTCATTGGTAAACTCTGTTTCAGCTTAAGGTGATACACAAACTAACATCGGTGTCACCTGGAGGTAGAGGTAATAACCAAATCAACCACATTGCTATCAAAGGAAAATGGAAAAGATCTTTACAGAATGCAAGAGTGAAGAGTGGGGATGACGTTGGAAGTTGTCAATGCCAACAAAAAGCTAAAGCTTATAAAAATAGCGCCAAAGAGCAACATTAGGCGAATAGACACATTCAAGCTAAGAGAAAACAAAGTGAGACAAGGCTTGAGATAAGAGAACAAGAACAGATTTCAAGTTTTGCAATGATGTGATGTTGTGAATGACAAAGTGATTGACGAACACTTGGAAAAATCTGCACCTTGTCTTCAAGCAAGAAGACTCTAGGGTTTAAGAGGCAGGTGCATAAGGAATGGATTACACCAGATACATGTACTTGGAAATCATTGACAAAGGCAAGGCCTTAAAACTAAGTTATGTAACACCCACTTGGAAAGAATAAAAGAGAGACTAAGAGAATGTTATTCCAATTATAATAGAGATGTGAAGAAAATAACAAAGAAAGATCGGAAAAATAAAAGGCATGGCAAGGGCTAAAGCTGAGAAAGCTGCTTCTGAACAATGAAGGTAGATCTCTTTCAAATGTAGTAACCAAAAGTTGAGTGGAAGTAAAAGACAAACAAATATACCTGTAAGAGACTAGCAATTTAAAAAAAAATAAAGGCAACTTCATTACATCCGAAGGAGAACAAGAATAAAGATGGAAAGAACATTTTGAAGAAGTGTTGAATCGTCCAGAGCCTAACGAGCTGGAAAACATACCGGGAACTGTCACTGATTTTGAAAATAAAATAGAGAAACCATCTAAAGCTGTAATATACAAAGCAATAACCTCCCTTAAGAACAACAAAGCACCTGGAAATGACCACCTAATCCAAACCTAGCAGCAGACATTTTTCACCCATTATTCACCAAGACCTAGAATACTATAGTAATAATAAAGTACCTACGACATTGTCCAAATTAAAGGAAATATCCCCAAACTGCCAAAGAAAGGAGAGCTTATTAACTGCAGTTACTGGAGGGGCATCACCTTACTACCTGGTATCAATACCTAGTAAGATTTTCAGCAGAATAATGATAGACAGAATCATGACTGCGTCGATGCCAGAATAAGACGAGAGCAAGCAGGTTGTAGGAAAGAAAAAAGCCGCTGTGAACAGGTCTTTACCCTATAAAACATTATAGAGCAATGTACAGACAAAGACAGCTTATAAAAAACTTACTTTAGTAATTGATTTGAAATAGCATTTCACAGTATCCACAGAGAAAGCTCGAGGGAGATCTTAAGGCATTATGGGTGTGGCGGTCAGCCGGGTTTGATCGCTGGTGGCCAGATAGCTCAGTTGGTAGAGCACCTGACCGGAGTTTCATGGTGAAGAATACTCGAAGGGCCCGGGTTTGAATCCCGGTCTGGTCCGCTGCATTTTCTCCTCTCCCGTTACATCTGGTGCCGTGACATGCCCTGGAACTGACAGGTGAGAGGCCTGCCAGGGATGAGCCTGGGTTGGGGATTTTGGAGGGCTAAAGGAGGGAGGAATGTGGCGGTCAGCTGGGTTCGACCGCCGGTGGCCAGATAGTTCAGCTGGTAGAGCACCTGACCAGACTTTCAGGGGGCCCGGGTTCGAATCCCGGTCTGGTCCGCTGCATTTTCTCTTCTCCCGTTACATGGGATACCATCAAAGATAGTATTTTTACTTGGAGTTTAATTGCACTATAAAGGCGGCTAATCAGATGCATGCTTCATAGTAAAATCTGGCATGAGGCAGGGCATTATGATGTCGGCTCTCCTTTTTATGAATACTTGCAAAAGACTGGGTTATGAAAACAACCCTTCGTGGCGACAACACAGGAATTAAATGGACCCATTTTACCGGTATGGAAGACCTAGTCTACGCAGATGACTTAATTGGACCTACTGTCACATCTAAAAAAGCATATATGCAAAGTTCAAAATTACAGAGTAAATCAGAAAAAATGGACCTGAAATCAATACCAAGGAAAGTGAAGTTATGACGTTAAACACAAACAACCAACACGAATACAGGTAGATGGAAATGACCAGAGCAGAACAATAACATTTACCTATCTTGGCAGCATAGTAACATCAGGTGGGGTGCGGACAATGATATAATGGTCAGACTAAGTAAAGCTAGGGTTTCCTTCATCAGCCCCAAGAGCATCTGGAACACAAATGACGTACTCTAATTAGAAGGACAAAAGTTAAGAATCTATAACAGCTGCACCCTGTCTGCTACTCTAAGGGGCAGAATGCTAGAGAATGACAGAAGAAGACATGTAAACTTTCTAGTTTCCACAATGGATGCCTCAGAAAGATCACGAAGATTTTTGGCCAAATAAAATCCAATATGAAACTCGATAAAAAAGCAAACAGACGATATGAGAACTATATTTACAAAACGGAGACGGCGATGGATTGGGCATATGTTAAGAAAACTAGCCAAGATAATTACAAAAGTAGCTTTTTGATGTACACCAGAAAGGAAGAGGAAACCTGGTCTACCTGGCGAAGGATTGTGGAAAAGGAAATGAGATACAAGAAACTAACTTGAGAAGAACTGGAAAGAAATGCCCAAGATAGAAGTGGAGTAGTCTAGTCCTTGCCCTTTGTGCCCAAAGGCATAACAAGGACTAGTAGGTATGTTGGAACAGTTACCAATGTTATCAATTACTCGCAATAACTTTGAAAAATGTAATCAAACACATCTCAAAATTTTTCATTTGTTTTGCAAATTTTGGCAAATATCGTACAAAATATTATACCTGATTATATACATATACTAGTAATGATGTATCACATATTAAATGCAAAGCATATTTGATGATTTGCTTGGATTTAAAATTATAATTTAAGAAAAAATTAAAAATGAACTGAAGTATAAACATAGTGGAAAATATTTAAACTTTATTTTTTTTTAAAAAATATCCAGTGGCCATGTCTTTGGAGTTCAACAAAGTTTGAAACTAGGGCTGAGGAAGTTTTCTATGAACAAAAAAGAAATGTAAAATTTAACTATGTTAATTGGGAAAAAATTATATTAATTATAAAAATAAATGAAATGTAATTTAGGAGGAATACAATTACATCGATTTGTTTAGAGTAATTTACTAAATTACAAGTAATTAAAAAAGAATTTCAACTTTTTTATTTTCAATTTTTCTAAAAACTCTGTAAGGTATTTCTTTAATTTGCACAATTTTACCACATTTCATAAAAGACTTCCACATCTCAAATTGAAAATTTTTAAAATAAATAATGTATGCATAATGTATGCATACATAATTGTTACAAATCATTAGTATGAAATATTCAAACGTACACACAAGCCCTCTCTCGCCGTCTCTCATTCACACTCAAAGACACTTTTAAAAGCATACATGTACGCGTGTAAACAAAGGGTAGGAATTTTTATCAAATTCACCGTATAATTTATAAAAGAACTAATTGCATTTTGAGTATATACACAAATGTATGCAATACTTTAACACTTCTATATAAATCTCAGATACATATAAATATCAGGATTCGTAAGCATCATTATTAATCTGAAGAATAGCAATCGGGAACTTGAATACTAGTACATAGTAAAATCTTCGCTGAGCCTGGACTTCGGCAAAACGTCCTTGAACTGTTAGAAAACTTGTTTCTTTTCCCATTGTACTTAAACAAATTTTCATAAGAATTACACACATTTTTATTCATACAATCTTTTATATCTTGCATTCAAAGACATTTCGGAATAAATCCTCATTCTTGAAAAACCCACTCTCTAATTTTTTTTTCGAAAGCTTCGTTGCTTTATCCTCAAAAGAGAAGGATTATGCGGTGTGTTGTAGTGAAAAATTCACATCAACCAAATGCAGTCATTTGTTTTTTGATTGTGTTTTGTTCTTTCTTTTGATTTTTCTGCTTCTTCTTCCTTTCCTTTTCTTCTTTACTGAAAAAATTATGCTGATTTTAATTAAAAGAATATATTAGGAAATTAATATTTATATTAATGTATGAATTATATACAAAAATTCTTTCAAAACTTATTTAGTAATTTAAAATAAAAATTCCAATGCAATTGAGTCTTTTTGAGGAAAGTTTTATATCATGCTGTAAAAGAATCTTTAATTTGATCTTTAAAGTATAATAAAAATAATAATAAAAATATATCTACTGTAGTTTTAACTAAATATTTTGCCAATAATTAAGTGATATTTCTTAAAAACAAATTATCACTTAACTGGTATGTTGCTTTGCCAATGAAGTTAAAATAAACGATAAACTTTTTCACTTTGTGCAACTTAGATCCCCAAAATATTATTAAAATATTTAACATAACGAAATACCTGTATAACTTAAAAAGAGCACGTGAAACATGGCTAAAAAAAACTACTAATATGAATGCTCAGGATTATAGATGAAATTCGTATTCCAGAATTATGATTGCGCACCTTTCTATCAGTATCAATAGCTTTATTTCTTAGATTCTATTCTTCCTTTTTTTCTCCTTTTTATATTAAAAAATTAAAAAACTTTAAGAGCTCACCTTTCTTTCTAGAATCCAAGATTACGTTTTCCATTACTTCATCACAGAGAGAATATCTCTTCTGGTCCAGGCTTAAAACTGAAAATGAAATTAGCTTTTGACATCAAGATTTCTCGTAGACTAAAGCACTTTACTATACAACATTTTATTGAATAAAAACCAAATTAAATAAAGATGCCTTATGAAATAATCTTCTTACTCTTTCACTTGATAAAGTCACTCTTTTTCTTTAGTCACGAAATAGATAAAATGAATTGGTTTCCATTAAAACTTACATTTCATGCAAATAAGAAAACCCCTTTCCACTGATGTCTCACAGGTGTTAAGTGGCACGTAATTCGTTTTGAACTGAAGTTTTACGTCCATTAATTCGGTAACATTAATTTCTAGATACCCAGATCCTTTTGGTATTCGTTGCAAAACGTTTCCCTGCTGAACGAAAAGTTCATCATGTTTTTCGTTGATTTCAGACCACAGAACTCGCAGCGCCACTTTCATTTCAAGATGTTTAAACTCAGTTTTGAAATTTAATGAATGAATGGAATTAGTATAACAATATTTATAATTCCAAGGAAAATTCGGATGACTTCGAACGATTATTGTCTGATCTCCCAGTTCTCGAATTTTGACGTCACTGGAGGATGTTTCTAATGTTTCTTTGGAAATCAAATCGTAGATTTTGGTCTCTACAGAAGAGAAAACAAATGTATATCACATAGTGTAACTGAAAATAATTATATTTTAAATTTTTGATGTATTTTTCTCTTCACAAGATTGGATATCATATCGAAGTTTCAGTCAAAGAGTAAAGTATCTCAGATAAAGATCCACTCGTTCTTTTTCTTAAATAGGGGAGGATGAAAGAACCAAGAGAATAACATTGATTAGAAAGGTGTTTACTTGGATTTCTTCAAGACGATAAGATTTAAACAAATTGTTTCCTCTTTAACAGAATCATTAAAGCAGATGACTGAATTTTCCAGATGTGGAAAACTCATGAGAATAAAATCCAGAACAATTAAACCATGCATATTGTCAAGACAAGAATCCCTAGAATACAAACTGATTTTTAAATAAATTCGTTTGTGCAATCCCAGAATTGGGATTTTTTAAAAACATGCAATAATGTTTTGAAATCTATCATACCTTACCTTTTCTTAAACATTTCATGTTTTTCTCGAACCATTTTTCTGTCCTTTTTATCCCCTTTCTTTTTCTTATTGTGCAACACTTTTCCCACATACAATAGATTGGCGAGTTTCTTAGATCTTCCTTCAGTGTTCTGTAATTGTCTGTGTTAAAATATCTTTGGGTATATCCTGAAACTTGCATCAGTTGACTCTCATTTGTGCAGGCAGCATGTAATTCTTTGAAACGTCGTTTAGTCTTGACTGTGCCTAAAATTTTGCAAGCATTTTAATATTCTTTTCTACATCAATATGTATATCTTTACTGCATGTTAACTTTTTGAACAAATGAAATTGTTTGGAACTGTATCGATTGCTAATATGTCATAATCTATTTAATTTCGAATGAGAACAATTTAAGGACATGCAACAATATGTCACTCCATTTGATATATAGATTATTCATAGTATAAATTATAAATAGTTACACTAGAAAACATTATATACGTGAGGATGTTAACGGAAAACATAACGATACTTACCAATCATGACAAACAGACAGACAGAGAGTACTTTGAGATTTGAAGCTGGGTAAAATGTTAAGAACATCTTCCTGAAGGTTATACTTCAGAAGGTCTTACGGTATCGTTATTTGAAATATTCGGAACCGAATTCCTACTCACAATTGTATCAACAAAGTTTCCTGAAGGATTTTCGGATACAGATACTTCATGTTATGTCCGTCCATTTATAACAGTTTTAAATAGGCGAGTTTTCCAGACAGTTTCCGTTCTTGTCCAATAGGGACGTTGTTTAATTTAATAACAATTTCCTTTAAGGTCCTAACGATTGAAATGTGTCTGGGTTTTGTACGGGCCCATTACTGACACCGTTCTGATAGTAATCTTTAATTCAAGAACAATGAATGAAAATGACATAATTTAATTTCAGAATTATAAAATTCATTGATATTGATGCCTTTTGCAACCTATCATTATTAACTCGGGCGGATGCAAGGAAAAGGACATGGTATCTACATGACATAATCAAAATAGATTCATTTTCCCAATTCATTCAGAAAAAAATTACAATATTTTCAATCAGTAAAACAAATATGTATATGACTCGATGTATCCCAGTTAACTTGAATTAAGGAAACTCAGAGTCTGCCACATCTGTTTCATATTTAGATGGTATACGGACCATAGACGATAAAGGCCAATTAAAAATATATTTTAAAGGAAATGACTATAGCTTTTCCATGTCAACTTTCCCTATTTATGTAGAAATATTCCATTATATTTACATTTCCAATAATTTTCCCCTAAGATTCTTTACAAAAAAAATGCTGTTCATTTTTTCATGAACAACATTGGGCACGTACCATGAATGAGCATGAATATCTCCATTGTTTCGTCATAATACCGCTCTTGATGTCAAAAAACATAGTGCACACTGTTTCGTTTTAAAAATGACAATTGAACGGCCTAAATTTACTGCAAGTCATCAGAAAAATAATGTAAATATAAGAAATAAATTTAATTTTTTGAAGATTCATGAGGTATATGAACTACAACGCTTCACGCCGGCATATTTATCATGAAGCGCTAACGCGCTTCATGAAATATGCCGGCGTGAAGCGTCGTAGTTTATAACCTCATGAATCTTCAAAAATTAAATTAATTTCTTAAATCATCTGCTTCTGGATTTATGTATACATGTCTCCCAACTTTATTCTTTACTCAGGGTGTTGTCCTGAGTACGATCAATTTTTTAAGAGAGAAATGCTACTTACTGATAAGTTGATACTTCATGGATTTAAACCAATCTCGAATAAAGACGGCATTTTGTAAATTCTGTGATCGTTATAATGACTTTATTAACACATATAACCTATCATTGGATTATATTTTGGCTGATTCGTTTCATACCAATTGTAAGACTTTTTTTGCTGAATTTTACTATGAAAAATCCCATCTATTTAATCAATACGAAGGGTTTACAGCAGGTTTGAACTGTTAACAGAGGATGCATACTCCTTCTAGGCACCTGATCACACCTTTCAAATTTCCAGAGACCCGTTTTTTTTTTTTTGCAACAGAAGTATATTAATTTCTTCGGGATTTTAGATAATCATAAAGATCTTTAAGATTTTAGAGTTACTAGTATCTGATTTTGGTCATATGCAACAATGAGTATCATAATTAAAATAATACAAACAACAATATATTAATAATTGTACATAAACTTGTAAATACAGTGCATATAGTTATATTATCACACCCTCGCGTTAGGAGCGTGGACTTGTTGCGAAGCCACTAGGGTGGACTATTGGTTAATGAAGATAAAGCCGCTTTACGATTTACAGACCTTTATTTCTCGTCGGGTCGGACAATATCAAGGACAAGCGCGTCCCGATTCCAACTCCCCGAATGTTAATAAAAATTTGTATTTATAGACATATTGATAATTGACAAGTTTGAGTAAATATGACATGAGTTAATTTGATTTACAAATAGAGTTGAAAATTATGATTTTAAATAAACAATAATTAAGTCCACAAAGCACAGTCCATCTGGCTCATCATGGCTAATTAAGATAATTAGACATGTTAAAGTAGATACATCTAACAGATTTAAGCAATTATGACAAATTCATTAAATTAAATAACAGATATAGAATTTTGAATTGAAAATGTCCAAAGTAATTGTCAAAATGTTCGATGGTACATTTTCATCTGTGACAATATGTTTAGTTAAGCTTAGTGTATTTTTTCAAAATATTAGATAAGAGCACAAAGTAAAAAGCGATTAGCCTAATCTATCAAAAATGATAATTGGTTGATAAGCTCCAGCTTCGAATTCTTGGACAAGAGAAATGTATCTTAAAACATTCTATAATCGAAGTACTCTCTCTCTCTCTCTCTCTCTCTCTCTCTCTTGGAAGAGGTACAGGCTTGGGCTTTGATTTGTGCCACGGAGACATTATAGTTTTTCTAGTAAATTCAATATGTTCAATAAAAATGCAAATACTTATTAAATTTGATTTTTATTTGGAATAAATAAACATTCGTAAAATACATATTTACATAATTAAGAGATACTATTAGAAGTATTTGAATTTAAAAAACACTGTAGAAAATTGTTTTTGTCAGAAAAAATTGAAGATACCAGACACTGTCAATGAACTTTAAATTTCTTTATATTGAAACAGATCAGTAAAAAACAACCTAATCATAGACTTCATTTGCAAAGGTCATTACATAAGAGATTTTCTGACAACAAGGAAACCACTTCTGTAAAAAAAAAAAAAAAAAAAAAAAAAAAAAAAAAAGAGGAAATGTCTTTGTCATTCAGAAAAATATGTACAATAATTGTATTTTAAATACTATACAAAAAACTAAATTTTTCATTCTTTCATTTTTGTCACAAAATTTCATTTCCTTCAAAGTAAAGGGTACATGCATTTATAAAAAAAACATTTTGCTAATATCATGTTTGTTAAAGCTCATAAATTATTTCAACAATTGAAATCTAGATACACATGTTTTCTAAAGGTATCACTGGCCAAGTAAGAATTTGGGCGTCAAGATTAATGCCCTCAGGACAACAAATACCCGTGGGGGTGAGTACATTTCATGATCTGCACACAAAAAGGCGTTCGATTTGCTTTATATTTTTCCTTATGTTGAAAGTATACGTATCTTCCTAATGTTCATTCCCAACACAACAGAATTGTAAAGTATCAGAATTCGGGAATTTATAATAATTCCACATCAACACGACAAACATGAACAATTTGTAAATAAATCAAATTATACGGAAACACATTTCACACACCAGATATGATGCCATGTATAAACAAGGGATTGTCTATCGTATCTAATTATGCGTCATTAATTACTTTCACATTCATCTTGTGCATAAAATCAAATTTATTTATGAATGTATAAAAAATGTAATGATAAAAATTCTAAAATTTCGGCTAAAAGAACCCTCTTTCTCTTTTTTTGAAAATCTTTTCTTTTTTATTTATCATTCAAACAGAATATTTGCAGAATATGTCTTCAACATTTTAGCAGAGACAGTGATAGTTTCAGGAATACAGCTTATGAGAGAACATAACTCTTGATCGTTTAATTTCGCTAAGTCATCAATAATTTACCATTTCTTGGCGACTTCAAAAGGGGGGGGGCGCTAAAGGCTTCTTGACCACCTCTGACAAAACAACCTCGACTGTGTTCTACATGTGTCCAAGAGACCTCTCTTTGAATGTCACGGTCGGTTAAACTCGGTCATATATTTTTAATCGTAGGGAAGATTTATTCATCAAATAAAAATCATATACATTGTAGGTAAACAAAAAGCAACCTGTTATTTTCTGGTTTGAACATATTTTATTGTTTTGATGTTACAACAAAAGGATTGTTATTTTCTAACACAATATAAGACTACAAGTAACTAGAATTCATGTTTATTTTTTAAACACATTTTTTTCATTATAGATGAGTATTAGGAAAAGTTATTGCCATGAGTAATACGTATCATAGATAAAATATCTAAAAGAAAACTGTGACATATTGTCTAGAACCAATCAGATAGTGCGTTGTATTAGCATATTATAATGAGGTATAAGATAGCGATATAAAAAAAATATAGAAGGTGAAGAGGTAAAATTTACCCTGTCTATCAAATAGTATAATAAAGAAAGGAAGTGGCTATGATTTTTATGAAATTTTTATGAAATTTTAATGTCCGATGAGGAATTACATTCCCAAAAAGTAAGACAAGAGTTTCCAAGGCAATTGAACACTCCATTATTTCAGTTTGTTCATTAACATGTTCATAAACGTAAAAGCTATAAGAAATGTGAAAACTTCACTATGTAATTCATATTTCAAAAATATGATTCATATTTCAATATGACTGTACCTCGATCTATATTGAGAAATTCAATGTATTTTAACTTCATGAAAAGATGTACACATTTGACTTTTATTTATACCCACCCACCCCCCCAAAAAAAAACAAAAACAAAAAAAAAAAACAAGAAAATCCTGTTCATATGACTTCTCGCTCTCAATTTTCACACAAATGCATAAAATAAAGGTAAAATATTTATATATATTATTTTATACTAAAATATAAAGGTAGTATATCTTGAATCGATTAAAATGCAACCAAAAAATTTACGGTGTCTTTGAATAAAAATTTCATGCTAAATTGACATAAAAAAAAGATACTCATCTTCAATTAGCTATTTTCAAACTGTTTTCCCGTGGGTATTTATTTCATCTTATTTTATTTTCTTCTTTATAATAACGTTGGTATTCTATTATTGCAGAGATATACAATTATGACTCGCTTATACTGTACTCTTTAACTGTTAGGAATAATTTATATTTCACGTGAAAGGGACGCCATACATTTTTCAGTAAAAATACATAACACGGCGTTAGTCGTTTAATTTCTTTAAAATTTCACGTTTTGTGAATAGTACACAAATTAGAAAATTAAGTATGTGGAATACTTTAATGGGAAATAAAGACAAACGAAGTGTAGTTATTTGTTTTTAGAAATTATATTGAAAAATAATAACGCCATTGTGTCCTCTTTGTTACCCCAGCAGTGTTTGTCGTGTGATTTTAAACTTATTTGACAACCTTATGAATTAGGTTAAATGAAAATAAATCCACAAGATAATGATGTACAAGTAACAGTTACTGGCATAATGCGCCGTTGCTTTATTCTTTAGTTTTTATAGAAAGTTGCACGGAATACCCGATTTCGCGGATTAAACGATACCCTAATATCGAGTATTATACGCGATTTTGCGGATAATACCCGATTTCGAGTATTCTCTCCGACCTGTTAAAGTCT